GGGCAGCTGATGTTAATGTAGACCACGTGTGTCAGCAGCATGGGTGGGGCAGCTGATGTTAATGTAGATCACGTGTGTCAGCAGCATGGGCGGGGCAGCTGATGTTAATGTAGACCACGTGTGTCAGCAGTGTGGGCAGGGCAGCTGATGTTAATGTAGACCACGTGTGTCAGCAGCATGGGCGGGGCAGCTGATGTTAATGTGGCCCACGTGTGTCAGCAGCGTGGGTGGGGCAGCTGATGTTAATGTAGACCACGTGTGTCAGCGGCGTGGGTGGGGCAGCTGATGTTAATGTGGCCCACGTGTGTCAGCAGCATGGGAGGGGCAGCTGATGTTAATGTGGCCCACGTGTGTCAGCAGCATGGGTGGGGCAGCTGATGTTAATGTAGACCACGTGTGTCAGCGGCGTGGGTGGGGCAGCTGATGTTGATGTAGCCCACGTGAGTCAGCAGCATGGGTGGGGCAGCTGATGTTAATGTGTCCCAAGTGTGTCAGCAGCGTGGGCGGGGCAGCTGATGTTAATGTGTCCCAAGTGTGTCAGCAGCGTGGGTGGGGCAGCTGATGTTAATGTAGACCACGTGTGTCAGCAGCATGGGCGGGGCAGCTGATGTTAATGTAGACCACGTGTGTCAGCAGTGTGGGCAGGGCAGCTGATGTTAATGTAGACCACGTGTGTCAGCAGCATGGGCAGGGCAGCTGATGTTAATGTAGCCCACGTGTGTCAGCAGTGTGGGCAGGGCAGCTGATGTTAATGTAGACCACGTGTGTCAGCGGCGTGGGTGGGGCAGCTGATGTTAATGTGTCCCAAGTGTGTCAGCAGCGTGGGCGGGGCAGCTGATGTTAATGTGTCCCAAGTGTGTCAGCAGCGTGGGTGGGGCAGCTGATGTTAATGTAGACCACGTGTGTCAGCAGCATGGGCGGGGCAGCTGATGTTAATGTAGACCACGTGTGTCAGCAGTGTGGGCAGGGCAGCTGATGTTAATGTAGACCACGTGTGTCAGCAGCATGGGCAGGGCAGCTGATGTTAATGTAGCCCACGTGTGTCAGCAGTGTGGGCAGGGCAGCTGATGTTAATGTAGACCACGTGTGTCAGCAGCATGGGCAGGGCAGCTGATGTTAATGTGGCCCACGTGTGTCGGCTATCAACAAAGATTCGTTCATGAAGCCATCCATATCTACAGACACAATTTCCACCGAGAGGATGGCTATAAACTCAGAAATCATTGGAAAGATGTCATCAACCACTTTGGGTCATGACAACCTCCACCGTGAGCAGTGTGGATGTGTGCAGCGAGGTGCAATGATTGCCTGGTGGCCTTTTGATTGGAGGAGACCCACTGCCAGTGTCTTTGTTTTCTCCACATTAACATCAGCTGCCCCGCCCACACTGCTGACCCACGTGGGCTACATTAACATAAGCTGCTGACACACTTGGGCTACGCCCATCTCTAAACCTTTATAAACAGTTTGCCTTTAGAGGCTAACCCCCTTTTCCTGATGACGACCGCTTGTGTTGCGATCGAAACGTCGTAGTTTTAAAATATGTTTTATTCTATCTCTGTGACTTTACCGAGAGAACCAACGAATATGAATCCCTGCAGTCACGAAAGTCAAAGTCTAAAAATCACCACGCGTTGGTCTGTCTACTCAGACTGCACAATGTTGACGGCCTTATCGCGTTTAACAAAATAAATAGCAAAGCAGCTACGCGTTTGCATTTCGTAGCACGCACAGGGATGGGCGCGTTACATATCCCAGAGCGCATAAACACGCGTTTGCATTTCGTAACACGCACAGGGATGGGCGCGTCACATATCCCAGACCGCATAAACACGCGTTTGCATTTCGTAGCACGCACAGGGATGGGCGCGTCACATATCCCAGACCGCATAAACACGCGTTTGCATTTCGTAGCACGCACAGGGATAGGCGCGTCACATATCCCAGACCGCATAAACACGCGTTTGCATTTCGTAGCACGCACAGGGACCGTGCGCGTCAAATATCCCAGAGCGCATAAACACGCGTTTGCATTTCGTAGCCCGTACAGGGATGGGCGCGTCACATATCCTAGAGCGCATAGACACGCGTTTGCATTTCGTAACACGCACAGGGATGGGCGCGTCACATATCCCACAGCGCATAGACACGCGTTTGTATTTCGTAGCACGCACAGGGATGGGGCGCGTCACATATCCCAGACCGCATAAACACGCGTTTGCATTTCGTAGCACGCACAGGGATGGGCGCGTCACATATCCCAGACCGCATAGACACGCGTTTGCATTTCGTAGCACGCACGGGGATGGGCGCGTCAAATATCCCAGAGCGCATAAACACGCGTTTGCATTTCGTAGCACGCACAGGGATGGGGCGCGTTACATATCCCAGAGCGCATAAACACGCGCTCGAAATTACCACCGCAGAAGCGCGAAGGGCGGGCGCCCTTGCGCCGCCGCCGCCGCGTTATTGTGTCGTGCGCGCACCCCCTCCCGTGTGAGAACACGGCTGTCACAGGCCTCGCATCACCGCCGCCACCCCCGACAGACGCGGCCCTCGACCGCAAACACCAACACGTCCCGGACGCGTCGGCCTTTGACGGCGCCTTTTACATTTGCCACCACCGATGGGGGCGGCGGCGCCCTCCGATTGGCCCACGTCCCGCCAACAAGCCGCGCCCCCATTGGCGCGCGCTCGCGCCCAGCCAATGGGATCGCGCGTGGGCGCGCCGCTATGCGCGTCCGCGCTACGGATTGCAAACGGCTCGCCTGGGCCTAGTCGAGGAGGCGTCGTCTTGGTGGGAGCCGCCGCGAGCAGGAGACGACCACCACCACCACAGCTACCCCTCCCGCACAACAATTATAACGACAACAACAACATTTTGTTGTTTTTACAAAGTCACGATTCGCACTCGTGAGGCGGTGGTGGGTGGGTAAAGCCTCCGCGCCGTTCCGCGGTTGGCGAAGGAGACGCGGCCGGGGGTGGGGGGGGGGGGGTGGCGACAGTGGCAGCGGCGGCGGGGGCGGCGTTCCGATTCTGGGCGCTCTTCCAGGCAACGCGGCAGGGCCCGAGGCCCGGGATTTGGGCCTAGCGAGAGGGGGAGAGGTGGAACGGACGGAGCTGCATTTTTTTTTCAATACCCCAGAGCGATCGTCTTGCACTGTAATTATTGACAAACTCTCGATTGTTGAACGATGTCGGTCGTGTGCGTGTGATTGACAAGTAACAAATAGTCGTAATTATGCGAATGCAAATAAGCGGTGGTGGTTCTGGCGCGCGGTGCTTTCAGGCGGCCGGTGAACGGTGATTTTGGTGATGGACGTGAGTTTATAAGATACAAATGCGGTTTTTGTTTTAATTCGGCTTATTTGAGACCTTACACATCGTAATCACATGGCAGTGCTCCGCGTGGTGCTGTGTACTCGTCGTTAGCGATGTAATTCGCAGATCGCTTAGTCGCTAAATTAATTGCGGTCATTTTGGCGATGCAGAGGAGAGTTGGTCGTATTGGCGTGGCTTTCTGAGGCCTTCGATGAGGTAATGTGGTGATCAACATTTCGATTCGAATAAGTTGGTTTATCGTCGCTAAAACTGCAAGTGAATGATTGTGATTTTCTGTTTATACTGCCGTATTAGCGTTAATGTGGCGTTCTTGCGACGTGAGGTGAGGTTTCGTAGATTGATGGCAGGTTTCATTATCGCATTTCAAACCCGACTTGTTTCGTTGAGGTAATAAATGCAGTAATTCTCTTCTTACTACAGTAATAGCATTGACGTGGCTTTTAAAACAGATGCTCCTTGCAATTGCTACATTAATTAGTATTGATGATTGCCTATCGACAATGGATTTGTTATAACTGCATTGTTTAGTATTAATAATTGTAGTTTTATCTCTAGTATGAACAGTATTCATGGGTCTTGATATTTAAACCAAGGATTCGATCGTGTTCCCTTTTTACTGCTAATTTGTAAAATAGCTGTGTTATTGTATTTGTGTTATGTAATTGCTACACTATAATTAATTCTATTACCATTTTACATTCATTACTATTTAAATGTCAAGTTTTGGTTTATCTTAAATATCCCCCCCCCCCCCCCATTATTGTACTTATATTGTACTGTATATATGTTTATATAACCCCTATTTGGCACGTTGTGAACATTATTGATTAGTATATGTTTCATGTTTATGTAATGCGCACATTGCATAAATTACGCAGGAAGCCCGGCATCTCTTTAATTTCAATACACGATTGTTTTAATTACATGTACGAATAATTGTTTTGCTAACAAATTGTCTTCTCATTTTTTTCTGTTGCTCCCAGTGCAGGAATGTGCCGTGTGTTTTATGCACTGCGTGTGCCGGATACATTCCTTCCACATTACTAGTGGACAGCACCCTGGCATTTTTTATACCAAAGATAATGTTTCTCTCTCTCTCACCTGGATACAAACAAACACAGTCCGTGTAACAAATACTCAGCACATTGGACAATAACAAGTGCCCTCAAAGATATTTAGGTGACATTTAGAGAAATGCCCCCTTCTTCATAGCACACGCGTGTTATTAAGTAGGATTATTTTACGTATGTTTGTGCACTACCGCTAACGCAAGTACCACAAAACATGTTTTTATAAAGTCCCATGTACTTTATATATTTTGAGAGCCAACCGTGCTGAGTGACTCAATTATCCAAGCTTGATTGTAATTTGTCAGTTTCACTTATAGCAAATCATTATTCATATGTACGATGTACATTAAAACGAACACCGAAACGTTACGCTTACAAAGCATGTCTGTAACAATCGCTCTTTATCCATAAAAAAGCTTCTATGAGTTGTACAGCGCCGTAAACCTGTCCAACATTGGGATAGATTCCAATTTAAATATAAAGGCATTCTATTTTTTTTTAAAATTGCATGCATGAGAAACAAGCAATTTGATGAAATCCCCTATGCCTATGAGGGGGATAACACAAATCCAAACTATTGGGACCGAAACCCACTTGCCGTGCTACCACATTGACGTCTTGCATGTCGCTGGGTCTGTCGTGCAGCGGTTAGTACACTGCGATATAAAACCGGCATCCCGGGTTCTATTATCGCTCGTGGTCAACACCAATGACGATTATCTGAGACGGTCCTGGGCCTTCCCCGAGGTCGACAGGCCTCAAATGAGGAGCTGCTGCGGTGTGTAAACTTTGCCACAATGGTGACAAGGGCGGCAGGGTGTTGTTGCTGTTCACCCACCCCCGCTACCTCGTGTGCTGTGCCGGCCTTCATAGGCGCTATGAGCTGTGGATTATATAAAATCGCTTCTTGTTGTCTTTGTCTCGTTCTCTCTTTCCAGCTGTGGGTGCTCGGTAAAGAAGATGGAGTGATGTGGTCGTGATGAACACTTCCCTAATGTCCGTGCCTCTCTTCCAGCAAGCATTCAACCGGTGGGGGCAGCGATACCCAACATTGCAAATAACAACAACAATACCACACAGTGCATGTTTTGGTGTTGCGACAGACTTTGGGGTAACCAACAGACTTAATGTATAACATCGGGCGAGCCCACATGATGGTAAGCCACTTGGTTGGGTCATCATTTGTGGCCAGGTCTCTTCTGAAAAAGAGCTATATAGTTCAGTGGGCCTTACCTGGTGAAATAAAAATAGTTTAGTACAGGGGTCGGCAACCAAAATAACAAGAAGAGCCATTTCTTTCCAATTCGGTACAAAATTCAGTATTTCAAGAGCCGCAATGCATCTGAGTACATACGTACTCATCGTCAAGAAGCAGCCCATAAAGAGCCGCATGCGGCTCCGGAGCCGTAGGTTGCCGACCCCTGGTTTAGTACTTGCTCTGAGCCATTGGGGTAAATTCCACTATCCTGTGGTCGCTGCATTCAAAGCAGGAGGATCACTGTTGATTTCCCACAACGTTATTTTCATTTTATCGACCTCGGAGGCATAACGATGATGATTGTAGGCTCAGTTGACCTGTGAGTGAAGCTCTCCTATGCGGAACACTAACTGGGTAGTGAATTTTAAAACGTCATCCACTGCTTCATTTAACAAGCGATAACCTTGCTGATGACACTTGGTGAGATCTAAAGCGGTCCTAAGATTCCGCATTTAATTCACAAATGCTACTGAGGAACACCGGTCCAGGAAGCCCATTAGTAGATGAGAGTGAAGTTAAAGTTATTGAATTTTGGTGATTAAGCAAAATATTTTTTTCATTTCACGTGGCTGAGTGGCTTGGTGGAAAAGGGGCTTTGTAACGGCTGAGTAATAGCACCGACTGGGTTCCTATCTAAAGCCCAACCATCAGTATTGACGGAGTAAAATTTTGGAATTATTAATGCACTGATATCTGCATTTGACGAACACTTGTGTTGCGATCGAAACGTCGTAGTTTTTTGTTATTTTCTTTGAACCTATCTACGTGACTTTACCAAAAGAACCAAATATTCTTTTTTTTCAACATATTTAAGTGCTTGTATTTTTATCTCAAAAATGTATGAGAGATAGTAGAGGCTTATGACGAAGAGTCAGATAAAATCTTAATTTTGGAGCTTTCGTGACTGCAGGAATTATTCTTTGTTTTTTTCGGTTAAGTCACGTCTAAAGATAAAAAAAAATAGTCATATAAAAATGTAGTAGATCCCAGAGGACATCCACCGTGGAGATGAAGCGATGAAATGTAATCCTGTGCAGGCGCTAAGCAGTTGGTTTTATTTTGAGACTGTGAGAGACGACTCAAAGGTCGCATGCCGGACGGCCAAGTTACAAAGCAAAGGTGTGCATCTTCAAAACAGGAGCATTCTACTTTGGTTTGCTGGTGCCTCGGTACCTATAAAGTAATGTTTTTTTCATTCCGGTTTAATTTTGATGACGTACATGTAACGTCATCATAGCCGGAGAGGGTTTAAGCTTCTCGTGTTTTGTGCATTTTGTCTGACAGTGATGGCCTCCAGGAGTTGCCTGCTGGTAAAATGGAGCATGTGGAAACTCACCACCCTCCGGAAACCCAGTCCTTGCCAGGTAATAATGGAATAAAGATAAGTGCTCTACTGCTGTGTAAGTTTTTCACGGTTGTGATGTACAGCTGGCCAAAGTGTTCTCAGGTTATTGCCGCGTGTTGTTCGGTGTTGTGTCCGACATTTCGTTTCGCATGCCTGCGAGCTCCTTTTGAGAACCGATGAATGTTGTTCGCCTTGATGGCTAACGTTGCACTCGGCTTGCTTGGCGCTTCATTTGTGTGTGCCGTGCAAACCCAAAAACACATCTGTGACCTATGAATATCAATTAAATAAAATCACATCAATAATCGCAATGCTCTTCTAAAGAACGCTCAAAGCACTTCGCAGTCTACCTGTCTAGCAGATTTATTCCGCACCTCGCTCAACAGTCGTACACATTCACACAGCAGCATGAGCTGTGTTGAGGCTGTGGGTTCGTGTTGAGGTTGTGGGTTCGTGTTGAGGTTGTGGGTCGATGTTGAGGCTGTGGGTTCGTGTTGAGGTTGTGGGTTCTTGTTGAGGTTGTGGGTTCGTGTTGAGGTTGTGCGTTAGTGTTGAGGCTGTGGGTCGATGTTGAGGCTGTGGGTCGATGTTGAGGCTGTGGGTCGGTGTTGAGGCTGTGGGTCGGTGTTGAGGCTGTGAGTTTGTGTTGAGGCTGTGGGTCGGTGTTGAGGCTGTGGGTCGGTGTTGAGGCTGTGAGTTTGTGTTGAGGCTGTGGGTTTGTGTTGAGGCTGTGAGTTTGTGTTGAGGCTGTGAGTTCGTGTTGAGGCTGTGGGTCGGTGTTGAGGCTGTGAGTTCGTGCTGAGGCTGTGGGTTGGTGTTGAGGCTGTGGGTTCGTGTTGAGGCTCTGGATCGGTGTTGAGGCTGTGGGTCGGTGTTGAGGCTGTGGGTCGGTGTCGAGCCTGTGGGTTCGTGTCGAGCCTGTGGGTTCGTGTTGAGGCTGGTTTGATGTTGTGGGTGTAGGTGACTGTTTAGGTTATGGGTTCGTGTTGAGGCTGTGGGTTTGTGTCCATCTCGGGCACTCCTATTGCGTATCTCTCCAGTTGCTCTTCTCACACCACACAGGCAAACAGTTCTACTGTTCGATGGAAGGGTGCGAGGAGGTTTTGGACAGCATGCATGTTCTCGTGAAGCACATGCGTGTGCACCACAAGCCGCTCCGCTACTACAAGTAAGTGTGCGCCTACCTGGAGCCTGTGAGATGGTGGTTGAGGCTGTATGTTAGTATTGAGGCTATGGGTTGGTGTTGAGGCTGTGGGTTGTTTTTGAGACTGCATTGTTGGGGCACGGTGGATTAGTGTTGAGGCTGTGGGTTGTTGTTGAGCCTGTGGGTTGTTGAGGCTGCGGGTTGTTGTTGAGGTTGTGAAGAGCATAAATTCACGTAAATAGCACGACGGTAATTTTAAAAGTGCTTATTATGTGTAAATATTAAATTGTAAATGCAGGCGGTCTCCAGGTTTACGGTCACGATTTACTACGCTCCACATTTACGACGTTTATATGACGCCAACACGGATCGATGCAAGATGCAGAAACTTGGTTTGCGAATGCGTCCTCCGACACGACTCCGAACCGAGTCGCTCCGGTTTCCGACGCGAGTCGGGAGTGGACCTTTTGTTATTCTTGAGTGATGAATTTTTTCTGGTGGATTTTTTTTTTACCTCTTAAATAACCCCCGTTAAAATACGAATGACGAAAAGGGAAAACACATTGACAAGTGATGGTTATAAGGCTTCTACTGTCTATGGGGGGGAAATAAGGGGGTCCAGTTCGCGACGATTTACATCGACGGCGTTTCCAGGAACGCATTGTGTCGTCATAGAAGCCGGGAACCGCCTGTATTTCATCTTAAGTGTTAACCGTATGCTTTAGGTCAGTGTTCGTCACTAATTTTCAGAGGGAGGGAGTGCCACTTTCGCCGATAAGACGTCATTAGTGCGAGGCGGGCCGCCACACATTTGAAACCATTGGGAGTTTGACAGGAGGATGATGATGGGGGGTGTTTTCACCCTTTGTGTATTGTCGTGGGGGGGGGGGGGGGGGGCGGCAGCACGTCAGGGGCCGCACTAAATGCCACCAGGAGGCCACCAGTGGCCCGTGAGGCCTTGCAACGAAGAACACTGCTCTAGGTGTAAATTCTATACGGACGTCGTTAAAATAAAACGAATGGATTTATGATTTCATTCAAATATAACACCTATGTCTGCTGGCCAGACTATGTGAACAGTTTGTTGCATCTGGTATGCGGAGATGGGGGGGTGGGGGGGCGATTAAGTGACAAGCAAAACGTCGGTAAACCACTGCGGCCTCCCGCAGGTGCGAGAACTGCAGCGCTCGCTTCCGCACGCACCGCGTGGTGTGCAAGCACCTGCAGCTGTGCCTGGCAGACAGCGCCCTCAAGCTGGCGCTCAACCCCCGGCCCGGCAAGCTCCAGCAACAGCAGCAACAGCAGCAACAGCAGCAGCAGCATCAGCAACAGCAGTCGGCCGATGGCAGCTATGCTGCTCTGCCTGGCGGGGAGACGGTCGGAGGTGGGAGCTGGCAGCAGCACAACGCGCTGAAGGAGCTCCTTTCATCGTCGGTGTACAGCAGCGCCCATCATCATCCTCATCATCATCACCCGCTGCCAGCGTCTTCGTCGTCCTCGTCTTCGAGCTTATCGTCCTCGTCGGTGACGGCGGCCTTCCGGCAGAATTTCGGCGGGGGATCGGCGCGGCATTCGCAGTCGTTCGCCGGCGCCAGGGCTGGCCACGGGGGTAGCGGCGTGGGCAGGCAGCAGCAGCAGCAGATGTCGTTCACGAACAGCCGACGACAGCAACACCAGCAACAGCATCAGCAGCAGTCGGTGAACACTTCTGCTCATCAGGTGAAGTTTTGACGGCAGTAACGGAATAAAACGTGAAGGGGACTGTTTGCAGTTGTGCACGTACGCAAAGGGAACATGTAACTCTCTTTTGTATACATGTGTAAAGTAGTAACTCGGCGGGAGACGACTTCACGGGTAGCACACTCTTTTATTTCACCAACTTATAGTTACACGGGTGACTAACACCCACTTAGTTACACGGGTGGCTAACACCAGCCTAACCCTCACGGTTCTCCTGGCTACACCGACACGGGCTCTTACTCCCCGTAGCCTCTCGGAACACACCCGGCCAGGGTGTCCGTCTCGACTCTGGGTCCCACAGTCCCGACCCACACGGGCGTCGGACCACGGGTCCCACAGTCTCGGCTCCGAGCCACACAGGGCCCCGGTCCTGACAAGGACGGCGGGACTAGGGGTCTCGGGCCACTACCTCCTCCACTCCGTCTTCAATCTTCAACTGGTTAACAACAACCACACCGAGTGCTCTCGCGCGTCCCCCTTTAAGCACCTCCTGCGGACGTCGCTGAGAGCACCCATCCCATTTGACCAATCACTGGGCGCTGGCTACGATCCTCTTTTCGCACCTCGTGTCAGCGCGCCTCACCACCGGCGCGCGCATCCAAACCACGCCCACATCGCGTGCCCAACCCCGCGCCCCGTGCCGCCCCGTGATCCATCACTGTCGGCGCACGTCAACACCACCACTACACATGTACACAAACGGCCCTTTCGTTCGACCGGATAATGTTAGATTTTTCTTATAAAGATGTATTCGCCTGGCAATCTATTCACATTGGTAATATTTGTATTATTATCATCACTTTTTTTTTCCACCCAGGATGGCCTTACGGAGTCTCAAGACTCTTCACTGTAGGAAGTGCTGTTACCACTTGTAATCGGAATTTCCCAATTATAAAAGTTACATTTTATAATTGGGAATATTACCAATACCGGTGGTTTTTTTTCAGCAACATAATTTTTTCACTTGGGTAAGGAGTTACCGTAACCTCTTGACTGAGTTGCCCGCATCTGCTTTTTGATGACAATCCCTCGCCCCCCATCTCTTCCTCCACACCTCCTCGTCCCTGCGGTTCCCCTCCACCTTCCCAGGTCCAGCCGCACCCTGCGGCCTCCGCCGTCTCCGTGCTGCAGCGAGCACCGACGGCGTCGCGAAGCCGGACGTCCCCGGCGCCCACCCCGCCGGCGGCCTACCCTCCTGTGACCTTCGCCTACGCTCAGTCGGCGGGGGGCGGCACCATCGTGTCCAACCCGCAGGCGTATGCCGTGCCCCAGCAGCAGCAGCAGCAGCAGCAACAACACCACCAGCAGCAGCAGCACCAGCAACACCACCAGCAGCATCACCAACAGCAGCATCACCAACAGCAGCATCACCAACAACAGCAGCAACACCACCAGCACCACGCAATGGTGTCGGACGGCGGCGCCGCCGCTTACCAGCACGTCTCCTCGGCGCCGCCGCCGTCGTCCTCGTCGTCGTCTTCGTCGTCGTCGGCGACCCTGTCGGCGGCCACCGCCTCGTGCATCGTGCCCAACGCGCACGCCGCCTTCCCCGAGGCCGACGGCGCCTACGGGAAGGCCTACGCGAAGGCCTACGCGGCCGTCGGTTCCGCTTCGGCCCGCGAGGCCGCTGCCGCAGCTGCGGCGGCGGCGGCGACGGCGGCGACCCAGCAGTACACCTACTCCAAGCCGATTCCACAGCTCATCTCGGACGCGGCTCACGGCACCCGCGACGCCAGCTACGCCAAGCACGCGCAGCCGTACGTCTCGGCCGCGGCTGTGTCTCCACTGTCGCATGCACAGCAGCAGCAGCAACAGCAGCAACAGCAGCAACAGCAGCAGCAACAGCAGCAACAGCAGCAACAGCAGCAGCAGAGTTACAGCAATGACAGCAGCAATGGTGGTGGCGGCGGCAACAACGGAGACCCAAACTCTCCGCGCTCCACCGAAGCGTTTGGCTCTCCCGGCCCCATGCCACGGCTGGTTCCGGTTGGACCGAACGGGCGCAGCAATGGCAGCCAGGTTGCCGGAGGGAACGCGGCACAGCAGTCTGTTAACTACGGTGGCGGAGGTTCTGGTGGTGGTGGTGGCGGCGGCGTGCGCAGCAAGGCAGCGTCTTTCCGGCAGGAGGTGGGTGGCACAGAGCCCCCACGGGACTCGCCGGCGCTGTTTTCGTACGCGCAGAGCGTGGTAGAGCAGGTTTACTCGTACAACGCACAAGCGGGTAACGGCACCCACCAGCAGCAGCAGCAGCAACAGCAGCAACAACAGCAGCAACAACAGCAGCAGCAACAACAACAACAGCAGCACAGGAGATCGGGACACCACCACCATCACCAGCAGCAGCAGCAAAGGCGATCTGGGCATCACCAGCAGCAGCAACAGCAGCAGCAGGAGCTCAGCCCCACCACCTCCCAGAGCGACAGCTCCCCAGAGGGCGCGCTCGCAGCGCAGCACAACGAGCGCACCAGCTTCCAGTCTCCGTCGTCGGCGGGCACGGCCGCCCGTGCCAAACCGTACTCGGCGGCGGGGGCGGCGAGCGCCGGCGTGATCGTGCCGCAGCGCGCGTACGTCCCCCAGCCGCCCTCGTCCTCCTCGTCCTCCTCCTCCTCGTGCTCCTCGTCGTCCCTCGCGACGATGGCGGCGTCGGCCGAGCCCCAGACGTTCGGGGCCCTGGCGCAAGCGCTGCCGCCGCTGCTCAACATGGCGGCGCAGTTCTCGGCGGCGGCGCACCTCTCGTTCGGCACGGCGGTCGCGCCGCAGCAGCAGCACCACCAGCAGCAGGCGCAGCACCAGCCGCAGCACCAGCCCCAGCACCAGCAGTCGGTGCAGTTCCCCTACGGCGGCGCCTACACGCTGCCCCCGTTCCAGCCCGTGTTCCGACCGCAGGCGAATCTGTTCGCTCACCCGCACTGCCTCCCGTCGTACGCCAGCACGCACTGGCTCGTCAACGCGGGTACGTGCGCCACGAGGACGTCCCCGGCAAAGCTGGCGCTGCGGAGTTGCCGGGGGTTAGGGCGGGGAGTTGCTGGTGTGCGGTGGTTCTGTGAAAAGTGACGTGGTCCACGAGTCTGGAGAGGTTGGTACCGTCTGTAATAGACAATAGGAATAACTCGGTCTCAGTGTTTCCGGTTGGAAGTCCTTGGGTTCGTCAATGATCAACTTCATCTACGGGCACCTCGCAGTTCGAGGTTTAGCTGCAGTGTATGTGTGTTAGGTACGGTCGCATTCTGAAACTGTGCGCTTATGTGCGCACGCGTTCAGGGGAGCGGTCGTGCAGCGGTTAGCGTGCTGCGCTACGCTCTCCCGGTTACCTGGGTTTTTTTCCCCGCTCACGGTCAACACCGGTAATGATTATCTGAACCAGTCCTGGACCTCACCTGGGACCAACTCAGCCTCAAATGAGTACCTGGTGCGGTGTGTAGTAAACATCTCCGCTCGGGAGACAAAGGTGGCCGGGCGTGGTGCTGGCCACCTATCTCCTCGTGTGCCAAGCCGGCCTTCGTAGGTGCTCGCTAACAGCACTTGCCCCAACAGTCTGTTACAGGCTAAACCGGGGATCTTTGTCAGGGGAGCAGTAGTGTAGCATTTGGCATGCTGTGCTACGAACCAGATTACCCGGGTTCGATTCCCACTCACGTTCAGCACCCAGTGACGGTTATCTGAATCAGTCCTTGGCATCCCCTGGGGCCGACTCGGCCTCAAATGAGTACCTCGTGTGGTGAGTAAACATCACCACTAGGAAGACAAAGGCGGCCGGGCGTGGTGCTCGCTAACTGCACTTGCTCCTGCTATCTGTTTAAGGCTATACGGGTGATCTTTGTCCCTGTTCAGGCCAGTCAAGCAGCGGCATTCCAGTCTGGCAGCAGCCAAGCCACCCGTACAGCTTTCCTCAGGCCCCCTATCCCAGCATGCCCCGCGAAGAGCCGAGTCTCCAGCGCCACTTGAAGCTGCCCGACTCGGCGGTGCGACACGACGCAGGTGAGGAAGTGTGCACCCTGCATCCACACGGCACAGTCCATAACCCGACCTCAATGGGCGGCACGGCTGCGGTGGTGGTGCAGTGTTAACTGCACAGTAGTCCAGAAGCCTTCTGACACAGCAGTGTTGAGTTTTTACAGACAGTTTAAAAAAGCATGCAATACAAGCTTCGTGAAAAAACAACGCTAATTTCTAGGAACCATCAGTGCAGTATGGACCCTATAGGCATCCGTCACAAGTCTGCGCAATATAGTTGCGGAGAGACGTCCGCATGCAAGCAATTCTCAGCTCTGTGCAACCGAGTTGAGAGGCATGCAAACACAAGCTTCGTAACAAAATAAATGTGCTCGGAAAGTAATAATAAGTGTTACAGTTATAATTTTTAGGAACCACAAGTTCGCGCAATGCACTTGCAGAGACGTCCATGAAACCAGAATATGTATTGATACTGGAGGAATCCTATCAGCTGTAAGCTCTTTTTCACAGATGTCCAGTCGGGGTGGATACGAGCATTACAACAACACACAATACAAAAATATGATAGTGCAAAGTACAAGAAAGGTAAAACAAATCACCCAAACACATACAAATATAACGATAATCCATCCCCATCCTTCCAGGAAAGCAATTCTCAATTGCGTGCTTCCTAGTTGAGCTTTGCCACGCCATCCGAAGCGTCCCCGAGCGAGGAAAACAATGTACACATCGTGTCCTCACCTCGTCTCTTCTCCGTTCCGCAGATTTCGCCGCCGGCGTCATCGGTTACCACACGGGCGCGAACCTGGTGCCAACACCGTACACGCAGCACAGGGACTTCCCCCCGCAGTGACACTCGCCCCCCCTGCCCCCCCTCCTGCCTCACCCCCAAGCGCCAGCTTCCCGCCGTCAGCTTTCTCCCTTTGATTTCTCCACCCCCCCCCCCCCGTCTCACCCGGTGGTTGAGTTCTGCTTGTTGACATCGGCTTCAAGAAGGCGGCCCTCTGGATATTCACCGTCGGAAACCCCCCCCTTCCCCTCTGCCGAATTCGGCGGATTGCCACGATCGGCCGTTTGCGATTTAATTGGAATAGCCGCGAAGTGGTGTTGGGGGTGGGGGGCGGGGTGAAGAAAACTAAATTAACGGCACGAGCAACGGTGTGCCCACTCGCAAAGCCGCACGAAGGCAAACCGACTACTCCCCGTTGATGCGCTCGCATCGTGCAGGCGGTCGCGCGTGACCGCCCCTGCTGCGCTGAAAGAAAAAAAACTCCGTCGTCGCGCTCAAACCTCGTCTAGACCACCGACTCAAAAAAGGGGGACTTCAGGGCATGGCCGCGTTTGTCGTTTGGACCGATAAACTCGGAGAGGTTGGAGGCGCAGCCGTCCTTGTTGACGCCAACTCTCTCGCGGCTTTTTGTCCGCAGGAACGCCGCCGAGAGTCATGCGTGCGGTGCGATCTGTAAGAGCCCATCGCGGTGTGAACGCAAGGAACGCAAGTCGGTGATTTGGTTGCGCTTGCGATTTGATTAGCCGAATTTTAGAATCGTTTTAATCCGAGAATCATTAAAAATCGCTGCTGGTGCCGTATCCTGCAATCATCGCTCTGTGTCGATCGGTGGGACTTGCTCACCCAATGCTACCCGGCGCTATCCCACACACAACCCCCCCTCGTGGCTCTCTGCGTGGCGTTTTGTCATGTGACGCACAACAAACCAGATCAGGTTTTGTTTTATTTTTGTTTCGTGGCCTTGGGGCTACCACCTCACCGCGCTTGAGAGAACCCTGGTTTAGTCTCAGCCGTGTGTGGAAACTTACTCTCACACCCAGGGTCACTCGCTGGTTCTGGCTCATTGACTATTGAGCTACGTGGGCCACGTTTCAAGGTAGCCAGATGTGTACAGTCGGCTCTCGATTACTTGCGTGCGCGGCTTATCCGATTTGCGGATTAACCGTGCAGGTGAGGTTTTGACGTAAATTAATAACTTATGATTTTCCCTTCAAGGCCAAACTCATAATCTAAAAACACTTATACATTAATTCTAGATTTGAAGTTTTCGTGACTGCAAGGATTCATATTCTTAGGTTTTTTCGGTAAAGTCACGTAGGTAAAAAATTTAAATTAATAAAAATAAAATAAAAATCACGACGTTTCGGAGGCAACACAAGCTTCCGTCTTCAGGTGGAACCGTCACAGCACGACAGCTGTATCAAGTAAATGAGAGATTACAGGAGATACCACTCCGTATATATATATGAGATTACAGGAGATACCATTCCGTATATATATTATATATACGGAGTGGTATCTCCTGTAATCTCTCATTTACTTGATACAGCTATCGTGCTGTGACGGTTCCACCTGAAGACGGAAGCTTGTGTTGCCTCCGAAACGTGATTTTTATTTTAGTTTACTTTTATTAATTTAAATTTTTTGCCTACGTGACTTTACCGAAAAAAACCTAAGAATACACTTATACATTGTGATTTTTGGAAATGTTTATTTTAGGCTACGTGCTTAAACAAAACATCTGTTGCTCTGGTTAATCCAAAATCCAAGTGATCTCCTCTGCAGTGCAGTAGTTGCATATCTTGACAACGGGCGGATTTTGTTTTGCGTGGCTCTGCGATCCACTTAGGAGGCCGACTCTTCTGCCCATCGAGATCCGTGGAAAATGTTTTTATTTTTTGATTATCCGCGATGTTGAATTATCCGCGGCCGACCTCCCCGTCAAAATCGAGAGTCGGCTGTATTTGGAACCCCAGATTATTCAAGCGAGCCGGACCCAGGCACTACGACATTTCTTTTTTTTACAGATAACAGCAGGCATTTGAAAATTGAGAATAGGTTTTTACCATTTTAATTCATACTTTGATACTGGCAAAAAAACGGTCCCATGATATAGCGGATTGTTATTTTCAATGTAATGCGCACTGGCAGTGTTGGGGAGTAATGTTACTGTAATCGGATCACAAAGTGTGTTTGCTGGTCATATACTATATTACTGTTGGTTTTACTTTGAAATCGAGCCACGGTGGTGGTTCTGCCCGTAGAGAGAGAGGGGGGTGCTCACGAGCGTAAGGTTTTGCGAGTTCGAACTCTGGGTTTCCGGGGGTTACACTCAGTCCATCATCCCTCTTCTGCAGGGTCGGTATCGCTTTGCGTGCAGAGGTCAACGGTGATTGGTCTAATAAGTTCATCCCCGTCGCAGTGCTGCTCTTTCTGTGGCTTCGAGAAACACTTTTTGAAGTGTTCAAGCTTTGCCAGTAGGGCTGTGTCCCCCTGCTACGCGAGAGAGTGCGCACGCATTGCTGCGTTACGGGGCGCAATTTTAATGCCCAAGTATTGTTAGAGATTGTCAATTTGATGGAAGTAAGTTTGAAGGTATTACGGTAGGTCAAGTTTTAAAATTCTAGATTTGAAGCTTTCGTGACTGCAAGGATTCATACTCTTAGGTTTTTTCGGTAAAGTAACGTAGGTAAAAATAAATAATAAATAATATAATTGATAGAAATAATAATAGAAATAAAATAATAAATCACGACGTTTGCGGAGGCAACACAAGTCTCCGTCATAAGGTGGGACCGTCACAGCTGAATTTACTGTAAATGATTTCTATTAATTGTATTATTTATTTTTATTATTTATTTTTACCTACGTGACTTTACCGAAAAAACCTAAGAGTAAGTTTTAAAATTCTATCTGGGATTACATTAATTTGTTTATACACCAAGGTTAATAGTAACTTGTGACTGATTACTAAAGCCACCCTCTTTTAAGACTGCGCAGTGCTGTATTTTGATTTCAACTTTGTTTTAGGCAAAGTTGAAGAGCTAAATAAGATTGTGAGAAGCAAAGTTTCACGTTGGGAGACTTAAACAAATGTGACTCCGCTTCATCATTCATACTGTGTCATTTCGACGAAATGTGTCTGCAAAACAAGCTTACGTTTTGGACATTAGCCCTTGGAAGCATTTCTTTGCAACGTTAGCCCATTGGTTCTCTGTAGCAACTGACAGATTTAACTGATGGAAATACTACAATCGATTTGATCAACTACACTTTGACGGCACAGGTTTTCTCTCGCTCTGCGCAGGTTTCGTTTTGCGCGATTTATCGTACGTGCGGCTCAACCTGTCTACCCAAAATTCACGATTATCACGCGGTTTGAATTCACGCGTACGCGGCTATGCGATCGGGCACGGGGCAACGCTGCGTGTGTGTATACCGTGTGCGTATACCGCTACTCGGCAGACAACTGTGCGCTTTTGTTCTGCGCGCACCCCCGTTTTTCTGGAATGCATCTACTACTACGACCGCACAAAGCGAGGAAAATCATGTACCTGTCGTGAGCCTAGGATTTACGGTAATGAATCGTAACACCCGTAGCGATGAGTGCAGTGCTACTTACCGGGCTGATGGTGAACTGCTGTCCGTGTATATATGTACTGTGGTAATTAAGGGATATTTGCTTCCTTTACACTAAAGCAGACATTGGGTACTGTAGGTTATATTTATCTCCATTTTACGGTGGTTTACGACGGGGAATAGGCCCTGGGATGTATCCGAATGTTGGGCTTCGATGCGGTGTTAAAAGAGGATTTTTAACACATTGGTGAGAATGAATAGGAAAAAAACACGTCTAAAACCTGCTGCTCTGTGACTATTTTCGAGGTGCGGATGTTGACTTTTTTGTTCGTTTTTACCGTCGGAAAGAGGGCCAGTAAGAGTCGGAAGATACCGTGACGTTCATTGAACCAGTTGACGCGGTGAACTTCCCACGGTAAGGCTGTGTGCGGTCGCTTGAAGGGAGATGCAACTCAAACAAAATATGTTGAGCCTTTCTTTTGTCGATCAACAAAACAACGCTTGGGCTCTGTGTCCCCCCGCTCTGTCCGTCGGTGGGTTGGAAATGATTTAAAATTGGAGAGTTGGCGCGGTTCTCAGGCGCGCACCGCTCCTGGCGCGCCCTTGTGTGGCGTCGGTCACGGTGCAGTCTCATTTTGTTTAACCAAAATTATCCGTCAAATTTTAGCGTTTTATTTTTATTAACAATGACTTGATGCCATCCAAAGAAGAAATCGAGCCCTACTGACGATGTGAATGAACCCAAGTTTTTGAATGAATACTCGCTCTTAGATAATTTAGTCGCGCTATTTTAGACCGCAGTGCGTTGAGAAAGATTTTTTTAAATATTGTCATTGGCGATATGCGTAGAGTATATGAAAAGATTAACGGAGTTCACCAATTGGCTGCCGGGAAAATCCTGCGAGGGTGGAACTGCACTGTTCCCTCGCACCAACATTTAAAAACTAAAGTGTGGACTAAACGTTTGACTGCTTTAATATGTGCCAGCTGTGAATGACTTAACAGACAACAAAAAATGATTTAAATGAACACTGTCAAGGCGGAGCCATGTGACCTGCATGCTGAGAGATGCTCAATGTCAGCCTACGGGCGCCTTTGCGGGGGGCGGGGGTGATTTGAAACCCGTTAAGCCGACAGACTCCTCCATTAGCCAGATTTGAGAGGTCACCAGGCGGCGATTCGTATACACAAGGAGATTTAACTTGCAGCGTCGTAGCAAACTAACGTTATTTTGAAGGAGTAAAAATCCGCAATCTTATTTTTTTTTGGGCTGCATCTGAATGCGAAATCGTTTACCCGCTGGCAGGTCAGCTTTTGCAGATTTCCGATTCGCTGTTTTGTGATCGGCAACGTCATCATCTGGCCAAATTTGTGCCGCTAATGACCCTTGCAGCACCTGACACAGCCAAACGTTGAATCGTCTCGTGCGCAATCGTTTCACACGCTGTTTATTTATCCTTTCGGCTCGCTCACAATGGTAAATTGAATCGCGATTCTCACAACCAAAAGTTTGCATTTGGTTTCGGCGTTTCGCTTGACTACGCGCGCCAAGCATTTTGCAGCATAAATTTAGCCAGATCTGTTGTGACCTGCGAAAACATTAGTTTTTTCGTTTACAAATCTTTGTTTTCCATTTTTTGTTCAAATACTAGGAACCAAGAGGTCCTGTTTCATTTTGGTTGAGTGCGTTTCCCTAAAAGATCTCGCCGGTTGTGGGGATATTGCCAAAGCAACTACAATGCCGTACCTTTAAACCATTGCCATTATTTTATGCAAACGGTCAACGTTTTGCTCATAACTCAATGCCGAGCCCTCGCTTCATCCAATTATGTTTGATTGCAAATTATCTCTCCAAATTCAAAGTACGTGAGCGGCATTAATGAACTAATCATATTTAGCTGGGCAGTGACCGATGATTCGAGCTTTAAGACTGTTGCACGATTGTTATTTCGCTTCTCAGTATCGACCGTACGTGGATGTCATTGTTATTACTGTGTACAGGTAATCTTGGGGGTTTTTTTTCGATTAAATAAGAGTTGGTAGTCATGAAAATAATAATTCTAACCGACGCTCTTTTGGTTAGATTCCCAACATTTTTGGAACTTTGACCAACCTCAACGTTCGCAAAAATGTTTGCAATCTACCGATGGTTTTTTTTTTACCTTCGATCGGTGACCATAGAATCAAAAATTTCGAACTTCATTGTCGACCGCCTTCTTAAGCCGGGTGTTTACGTTCACGTTAATCCTCGTGTACCCTCGTCGTCATCGTCCTCGTGGTTGATATACGCAGCCTGTCGATCTCCGTCGGCGATCTCGCCGTTGACCCACACTGCCCTGCCACAAGGAGGTGGGTGGGGTGGGTGGGGGGGAACTCAATATTCCTCATCCACTCGTAAACGAAGACGGCGATTTGGTCGAGCGCAACGCTTTTGCGGAAACGAGCTTCGGGGAAGGTCGTTCCTCCATGTGACCTTTAGTCGCACGACTCCGATGTGACGATAGTAACGTCATTTGTGCGGAAAACCCTCGCCGAATCTCAGAAGATCTTTTCAAGAGGAGGGGGGGTCCCGCTTATGTGGCTGTATGGCCGATTCTCGGGGGTGAGTTTTTACGATGGACCATTGTCTGATTGTTGTCCCTCGTGGTAATAGCATTGGGGTTGTTGCTTACCAGTTTATCGCCCCGAGCCGATGGTGAAAATTTCACGTTTCTATGACGGGGCCCGGCTCAATCGGATGACCACTGTCCTTGGCTGCCCACAAAGTGGTACTGATTTTATGAAGCCCAGAGGAATGATGATGATAAACAGCTGAGTTAACCCAAGACTGGCATTTTTAACTTGTGAC